GTAGAAGTGGATGAACTTGTCAAGAAATGGCTAAAAATGAAAAATATCCATTTTATCTCATAATCGTAAAACCTTGTTATATAACAAAACACCATAAGCTACTCTACAACTTATAAGTTGCAAACTAAGAGATGTTTCATAAGATAATCACAGAAGGATTGGTATTCAGGGACTATTAAGTATTAACTAATGAGATAAAAGAATAAACCCTAAATGGGCAAAGGATGAGTAGGCATACACAGAAAAGTTAACTCAGATGACCAAAAAACATTTGAAAGGAAGCTCAACTTCATTATTAATCAGGGAAATGAAATTTAAGACAGTACTCATCTATTACTTTATATTTAAAAACTTATACCTGTAAAAATTAATTTTTCATGAGTGGAAGGAAGTGAAATTTCATTACCACTGTTGAGATAGAAGTCTGATAACTCTGAGGTTGATCACACAGTATCTTTATACTTAAATATATTAATACTGTATTATTTGACAATTCTACTTCTTGATATTTCCTCAGAGATGGACTTATATATATTTATAAAAAGATGTGTAGAAGGATGTTTATTGCATCATTATTTGTAAGAATGAAAAATTGGAAACAACCTATCAGTAGGAAATGAATATATAAATTGACATACTAATATAACAAAATACTATACAGAAGTTAAAATGAAGTAGATCTGCATCTATGGATAGGTTTGAATCATGACAACATAATGCTGAGTGAAAAAAGCAGTTTGCAAGAGGAGGTTTGGTGTATGATGTCCTTTATATGAAATATTAAACACACTAAACAGTGTAATATATTTTTTACTCATACATATATAGCAAAATAAAGATATGGACAAGAAGATACACACTAATTTCAGGGTGAGTGGTACTTCTAGGAATGGGGAGAGGTGAATAGAATGCTTAATAGTCTTTGTAACTTTCTGTATGCTTGAAATATTTCATACTTAAAAATTGAAAAACTAAAAAAATGCTTACTTTCCCTACTCATAAATATTTCACTGAATAAAATAGCTAATTTTTCCAGTGTTATCAATAAAACTCTATTACATTACCATCCCATGACCCTTTGCAAATAAGTCAAGCACCTATCTCGTTTGTGCATCATCTCTTGACTTTAGCAAGGCTACAGAGTCAAGAGCCTTTTTACTAATCTTCTCTTCAAGATAGCAGCACAGTGGCAGGATGGAACAAACAATTATTGGTGCAAAAGGTTTTTTTAATGTCCTCATTCCAAATTGAAGCAGTGAAAAGAACTAAAATTTTAAAACAAAAATTGATGTAATATATTTTCATAAGTCTATTAAGCAAAGAAAATCAAAAGAAATTCTCTAGGCTAAATTCATTAAACATTTAACTTATTAAGTATTAGCTAGGCTTGTTTTGCTAATTTCATTTTTTAAAAAATATTATTCATTTGTTTGCTCATGCCAGTTGAATTCATATTGGAACATTTCTTCATCTGAGGAAATGACTCCCTAAGCACCTCATCCTCGCAGCCCATAGTGTGTACATCAAGTCTTGGAGCTAGATGCATAATTCATTCTCTAGACATTTGAAAATCTAAGAGGACAAAGGGAAGAACACTTAGAAGGTTAGGAAATTATCAGTTATTTCACATGCAAAAAAACATTTTATTTTAGAAGAGTTTATTAAAATTAACTGCTATAAGACTAATCCATCCATTCCATTAACTTATTTAGTTCTGGAAAATCTTGGGGGTGACGATCCTTTCAACATAGAAATTTTGGGCAGAGATATAAGAATTTAATCAGAAATGAATATTTACTGTCTCAGACATTGAGGTAATTAGGAAATATTTCATTCACCAACAATTTAGTTTGCATACGTTTTCCAGGAATTCCCTTGTGACATAAAATGAATGCCATCTACATAATATTTGCACATTGTTTAAGACATTAGCTAATTAATTTTTAAAAATAACAAACCTGATAGAATTATCATACATAGTGTTAAAGATTACAATGATTATTTTAATGTGAAATTTTTGTTGTCCTTAAGAATGATTTTTCTTGCAAGAGAGGTTATTCAGTTTCTTTAAAAGAGATTCTTTTTTGACTTTAAGACTGTTAATGAATTTTTAACCTCTATAATTTCAGAAATCTAGATCTTTAGGATTTTCTGTTATTCAGCCTACTCTACAAGTCTATCAGATCTAATTACTTTTTGGGCCTTTGTAAGTTGTGTGACTGTCTTTATAAAACTTGACTAAATTAGCATCATCAAGCATGTGAAAGTGTGTTAATAAATTTTGTATATTGTTTCCTTTTAAACTCTTCAGACATGTGAATTAAGAAATAAAATCTTCCTGAGAAATTACATGACTCAGAATTTAACAATTTAGATTTTTTGCTAGGATAAGCCATAAGTTATCTTAAATATTCCAAAGCTGTTTATAAATTTGATTTAAAAATCACAGGTAAAAATTAATTAATTGCATATTCTAAATAGAATTCAAAGGCTGCCTGACGTCCACTGAGCCCTTCAGTCTTTTTCTCTCATCCTTACTACTAATATTTTTCCCCTCAGGGTGGTAATTTGGGAGCATCCCCTATCCTTGTTCTAGCTTCCCATCCTACCACCCTGAGAAATCCTATTTTGTTCCTTAACCTAAAGATCCTAGTCCAGTCCTGTGACAGAGACAGTTATTTGAATTAGCCTCTCTACTTCTGTTTTCTGAGTTTCCCTGAATATGGTTGAATCTTTCTTTAGTTTTTCTTATAATCAAGACCTAACAAAACTAGTGACTTTCCAATTTTTTTTTGCTGGAAATAAATAATGATAATAGTAATAATGATGTTTAAAAAACAATATGATGCTCATATTACTGATAAATACACTTAAAAAGTTCAAAACAGATTATATGCTTGCTTTGGTTATGGGAAGGTAGGATAGAAAGAGAGATATTTCATTCTTTCACTTACTTATTTTACCAAAGGTCAGGAAAGGAGAAAAAAGAAAAAAAGTAGAAAATAGCAGTGAGCAGTGAGAAAGGAAGCAATTAACTAATCCCTTGAAACCTGGGGAAAAAGGAAGGAAGGGTAGACCTCACACCACCTGACATGTTTAGTTCTCCTTGCTTGCTAGGTGGGCCAATATCCTTTTGAATGCAGGTTTTAGGTGTAAATATATTTCCACTTCCATGCTATGCTGCCCATGATTATTTGGTGATGCTGTCTGGGTGTGAGGTTGAAAATAATTCTGAAACATGACTGATCTCAGAGGAAAAGAGTATCATATAGGTAAACAATGCCTGACACTGCCACTGAACGGGAGGCCTGCACGGCTCACTTGCTATCCTGCATAGGCTTTGGAGAGCAATCTGGCAATGTTCCAGTACAGGAGAAATGAGAGGATGTGTTGACAGGCACACTATAGAGATGTCAGGAGTTTCTGGGAATAGCAAACAAAATCTCAGCTTGAAATTGGTTGTTCATTGTCAGTCAAGGAGATCTGACAGGAAGTAATGGAGATAGAGCAGCAGGGCCTAATGTTACCAGGCCAGATTCTAGTTCATGGGGCGGTGGTGAAAAGGAGGTAGGGCCAGATGCCAAGACAAGGACTCAGGAAACAAGATAAAAGTCAGTTTGGGGCCTGAGAGATAAGGTGAGGGCTAGGTTTTGAAAGAAAAAAACAACAGTTTAAGAACTGTGATGAAAGATCATAGATGAACAATAGTAAATCTGACTTGATGCTGAACTGATGAGCTACTAGCCTAGAGCTGTATACAGGGTGTGGCAAAACCAGGTTTACAGTTGTATGTGGAACACAGAGTTTACTCTTGTATTATTATTTATTAATTATTTTCCATATTAACAACGGTATATCTACTTTTGCCCAACCCTATAAATCCCCTTATCATAGCCTAGGACCACAATAAGGCAGTAGGTGGGAGGTAGTGTCAGATATGCAGCTTGGAGTATTACAAGGACAGGAAATCCAGCAGTGCTTTATACACTCATCCATTTGCCTCCTCACTCACACCAACATCTCCTTTATTAGAGTTTATTCTCAAGGCTGTAGGAACAACCACAGAAAATTTAGAGTTATGGAAAACCTAAATTAAAAGTGGTATGTTGATAGTATATTTATTTGGAACATTGTAGCACATAGTGGTTAGTTTATAGTAGTATAGCACATGTAACCATGGGTTAAATATAATTTCTATGGGCTTACTTTGGTTCAAAATCCCAGATATATTGTTTGAGAAATTCTTTCCATGTTCTAAGCCCAGGAATTTCACATAATCTATAGATTAAGAATGCCTCTGTCACTCGCCAGAGTGTTGTTTGGACAAAATATATGTAGAATATAGATAAGCAAGTATAATTTTTAAATGGAAAAAAGAACCAGGCTGGATAATACTAAATTTTTTTCAATAATTTGTGTCAAAACAAAAGAAACCTCATTAATCCATTTCCACTAATTTGAATTTGTGATTGCCAGCTTGGAGCAGGTTAAAGTATTGAAGGGTCAAGTCAAAGAACATGTATAAAGGACCCATGGACAAAGCCAAAGTGGGGAAGGATTGAGGGTGGGGTGGGGGAAAGTGGTGGCGGGAAAATGGAGACAAATGTATCTGAACAATAAAAAAAAATAATTAAAAATTTAAAAAAACTTTAAGTCAGTTAAATGATAAACAAGGTTTATGAGGTATACTAAATCCATTTTTACAAACAAATTATTTTAAGATGTGTCCTGAAAAATGTTATATATAAATGAATACTATTAACTACAAATGAGTTTTGCTTATTAAAGGAGATTCAACAAACATACTCTATTGTCAGATGTACTTGAAGTTTATTTACTATTTGTATTTTATGGATCCAGATTGAACTTCCTTAATTGGTTGTTGTTGTTGTTGTTGTTGTTGTGTGTGTGTGTGTGTGTGTGTGTGTACATATGTCAAAAAAAATTTAGGAATCACAGAAAGCTTTGACTTTATCATTAAATCCTCTCCCCCACTCCAGGTTTTTACCAAGCCTTGCAAGGTCAGCCTTAGAAAAAAACTTGGCAGATGCTTCAATAGAAATAAGTACAGATAATAATCTAGAACCAGAACTGGAAGATTACAAATGTAAGTATTTGATCTGTATTTTTTTAAGTGAAATAATAACTATCAAATGTCTTTTGTTACTAACTTTCAATAAAAATAGTTTTGTTTTCCATTTATTTTGTTTTATTTTGGATCGAAGAAATAAATCTTTAATTTCTTTTTAAAAAGATTAAAACCCACTGAAAAGTTAAACCTTAGAATACTTCCTTTAGTTCCATGCCAGGTACAGGTCCTCCCCCCATGCCCATTTTCTTGAGTCACAATTGACACAAACATATTAAAGGCTCTCAGAATTTCTGGTATAAATAAACTTGTGTGATTTTGTTTAACATTTTTTTTCCACATGTATTTCACCACAGAATCTAAAATTCTGTTTTCCTTGCGCAGTATTTTCATTTTGAGGACCAGCAGCATCTTAGGGGATATGCTTCTGAAGCTATTCTAGGTTTAGGTAGACTAAAATAATATTCAGAGTACCATTTCTTGCCTTCTTAATCTTCCATTTCCACATGTACAAGGTCTACCCAGAAGGTATCCAACCATGTAATATGAAAAAGAGACATTTATTGAAGAAGATGCAAGATACAAGAAAAATTGTACATAGGACAGTGATTCCTCATTCCCCTTCAAAGTAGGCACCTTGGGACCTCACACAGTTCTCCCAGTCACCATCAGCTGCCCTGTCATATTTTCCTGACTCTCATGACAGTCTGAAATCTTTTCCCTTCCAAAGGTGATTTTAGTTTTGGGAAAAGCCAGAAGTCGAAGGGCGCCAAATCTGGGCTGTAGCGGGGCTGAGTCATGTGGGTGAATTCATGTTTTGCCAAAAACCTCTGCATGAGATGTGATGCATGAGCAGGTGAATTGTCATGATGAAGCTGCCAATCACCAGTTGCCCATAACTACAGCCTTTTGAATCATCAAAATAGTTTCTCTGGAGGAATGTTCAAATTTAATGCAAAATTTGATGCAGATTCATTGCTCTGCTTGCTCAGTCATTTTGAATGCAACAGCCACACAGTACACATGCTTACTCCATGGGGTGTACTACCCCCATTGACTAGTACAGTGAAGTTATCATTGTTCACTCATGCACATTCCAGTCCACTCTCTTTGACTGCCAGCTTACATCAATATTGTGCAAACTGTCCTCATTATGTTAATGTTGGCTGGGCTTTTCCCAGACAGACCTCATATTGTCTTTTGTGGTTCTTTTCTCCTGGAGAGCCATAAGTATAATTTTGAATATTGGGAGAAATTTATTTCTTCCTACACAAGTTCCTCATTCTTCCATTACAGTGCAATGAAAGTTTCTCTATTTTTTGAGGTATTAATTACCTGAAAACATCCAATTTGTGACCATTCTCCAAAGGGGTCTATTGTGGTTTTCTTTGTAGTAGGTTTTTTTTTTAAGGTTTTATTTATTTATTTTTAGAGAGGGCAAGAGAGGGAGAACACAGAGAAACATCGATGTGTGATAGAAACATCATCGGTTGCCTCTTGCCCGCCCCCATCTGAGGACATGGCACACAACCCAGGCTTGTATCGTGACTGTTAATTGAACTGACAACCTTTGGGTTTGCAGGCCAGCACTCAGTCCACTGAGCCACACCAGCCAGGGCTGTAGTAGGTATTCTTAATTGTTGGAAATACACTGAAGTAACAAGTTGATATTAAGAAAATAAGATGCCCTTTTTTAAAGTAAAATTATAAACCCTGCATACTGATGGATCTGGGTACTGATATACATAGCCAATTCAGAGACAGAATAACTTTGGTACTTTTTAGATTGATAATGTTACTTGATTGAATTTTTTTTTAACATATCCAAAGAAAGGCTGCATCATTCAGACTATAGATTGTTTAGTCTCAGTAATAGGGTAGTGTTAACAGTTCCCATCTAAGTCTTGTGTAGAGGATAGGGAACCTAAGTCAAGAGACTTGATTCCTCTGATTCTATTCATCTTTAATGTCATCTGTTTTGGAAAATTCATTTAATTCACTGTCTCTGTTCAGGAGCCATACTCACCAGCCAACATTCTGATAAGGGTTGGACTTTTTCCATGCAGGTGTTCCTCTAGATAATATGCCAATAAGACAACCAGTGTATCATGTAGTCCATATGAAAGTTGCAGTTTTTATTGCAATGTAATTCTTTGCAATTCCGGTTTTAGATATAGATTAGAGTTTATGTCTTTAATAATCTCCTGAGACTTCAGTTTGTCCTCTGTTGTGATGATAAAATTAGGTTTTGAGTTTATCAGTCTGAGGACTTAATAAACTTACAAAATGATGCCATCCTCTGAGATTTGTTTTAGAAGATCGTTAGCCAGCTTTCTCCCATGAAACTGTAGCATCACCATTTTCTCCATGCATTTCTCTTATCTGGCTTGAAATTTTAATAATAAACATTGGTTAATTGAATTAAATTGTCCTAATGACCTAAATGTACTAAATAGATATATCCTTAAACTAAAGCATAGATAATATCAGATGCTGTTTGAATCTGAAATTGTGTCTGTCATCTCAGCATGCAAGTATATTGTAAATTCACTGCACAATCCTGGTCTTTTACAGTTTTATAGTGGGTTTATTTCAGAGAACTGATGGTAGTAAATAAGTAATAAATCTTCAGCATGACAGCTTATGTTTTTCTGCCTATAGAACTTATAAATAAAAAGAAAATGGTGAGGATCTATTAAAAGAAGAGGGCTACTATGCTTTGGCAAGTGTGTAGCACTCAGCAGTGATTAAACAGGGTGACACTTTATTTTTAGCATAAAATTGTTCACAGTGCTCTATAGACTCAAATGTTGCTTTTCTACCTTGTCTTTTAAAATGCTTTTGCACTAAAATAGAATTTTCCATATTTAAAGTAGGAAGGACAAAAATGGGTCAGTTGTTTAAGGTATTGTTATTGTCTACCTGCTTGCTAGGGTATTTCCACAGGATGGAATAGTATTTGGAGTCAGAGGATTGAACACATTCCACATGGCAGAAATAATAACAGTTCTATTTTTTAGCTCTACGCATACCAGCTGAGAGATTTGAAGCAAATTACTTAATATTTGTTTTTCTTAGCTTTTTCATAATTTTTGTCTCATTATTAGGAAAATTAAATGAAATTATAAGAGAGAACAATGAGCTGAAGCTCCTCGTTTGGGATCTGGCGCTCAGAAGGTTCTCAATTAATAATAACTTCTATTATTGTAATCATTGGTGCTACTACAACTACTACTATTAGTGTTATCATTATTGACTTTGGCATATAGCAGACAGGGAACAGGGCTATCTGGCTACTGTAAGGAATACATGTGACGTATATTCCCTGACATTAATAAATTTATTATTTAGGTTCCTGGCTTCAAGGACCTCCAATTCTATTCTTGACCAACTATAATAGACATTCCAGTAATAACTATCATAAAATAATTGTGTAGCGCCTGGGGTGCTTATTTGAAAATATAGATCTCCTGGACCATCACTGAAAATAGTAATTTGGGAGGTCTGGCATGGGTTGATTCATTTGTATTTTTGATTAGGTATCTAGGGGTTTCTTATGTGGGGCTTTTGAATGGGTGGGACCTGAAAAAATGATACTCAAGGTACATTAGAGCTTTTGAATGTGTATTTGGCTAATATATATGTGATAGTCTTTGGCTGAATAAGCTTATTAAGGTGACTTGACTGAGTTCTGGGGTTTTTTCTCCTCTCAATTTTATGTCTATGCTGTTTGCTATATACATTGTTTTAATCAAATTTTATTACATTTTAGAACATTTAAAGCTTTCTGTAGAACTTTAACCTGTTTATGTAGAGCTAAAAACACTCTAGCAGACCTGACTGGTGTGGCTCAGTGGGTTGGGCATCATCCCACACACTGAAAGTTTGCTGGTTTGATTCCCAGTCAGGGCACATGCCTTGGTTGTGGGCCAGGCCCTCAGTTGGGGGTGTGTGAGAGGTAACCAATTGATGTTTCTCTCCCTCTTTCTGAAAATAAATAAACAAAATAAATAAATAAAATCTAAAAAAAAAACTCTAGTAAATAAAACACCTTCAAGGTTTTTATTATACCACCTTCAAGCTTATTTCTATTTTATATGTTAAATTAAAATTCTTTGATGAGCCCAGAAGATAGTAAAGATGCTGTATTGCATTCTATATTGGCTGAAGTTGGCTTCTCTGAGGACAGTGCCATGAATAATTCTCCGTCCTGTGTGAAATTTTTAGGTGAGGTAGCATCTGGATCTCTGAGGATTGGAGCTGTCAGTGCCCCCATCTATAACGCCCACGAGAAAATGAAGGTGCCTGATGTTCTGTTCTATGACAACATTCAGGTAAGATCATTGCTTTTCATTCATGGATAAATCATCACTTACATTGTAGTAGTTCATTCTGATTCAAGTGAAATTGTTTAGTTATTTTTGTAATTCACTAAGTGCAATTCAGATGATGCCAAATGAAGTGTTGAAATGTCTTCAATTAATGCATCATGATATTGGAAGAGTTGCTGCTATGGTTAGAGTATAATAAATTTTATATGTACATACATATTATGCTTCAGGTAAATAAAATGAATATATTATTGAATTAAAAACAAAGTAGAATAGTACTTATCCTCTCTTTTGCTTTCCTGTTGGTTTAAATCATTTTAGTTCAAAAAGGGATACATCCTATGTATTCTTTCCTTCATATTCCTTTCCTTTTCCTAAAAATTTCTAGTATTTTCTATTCTTTACTTTTCCTTCATTTTTTTTAAGGGAGGAGAGTAGATAATTTCCCACTTGTAAACTAAGCTATTATTAGGATCTGCTACTAAGACACAGGAATAAGTGTGTACATAAAATGCTTTACTGTGGATGTTCCCTTGAATAAGAAATTTCTCCAGAGAAAATCAGTCCTAATATAAAAAGTCGTTTTTCTTTTCCAGATTTTCGGTCAAGTCGTTATATATTTATTTTATAATAAAACACATACTTTAATTTCTCTATAATATTTGGTCACTAATCTGCATGAAAATAATAACCTGACATTTACAAATTATGTTAGAAAAACTTCTACCTATTATTTCCACTATATTAAAGATTTAGGAATACTAAATAAATTTTTTATTGGCCATTTTCTGATGCTATTTGTTGTTCAATGAGTATAATAATTTATATCCCGATATTATATTAACAGCACAGAAGGTATCTGGGTAAATTCTTCTTTCTCAATAAAAATATTAATGAAATATTGTGAGATCTGTCTAAACTTTAATTATCATCTACAGCATAGCAAAAGACATAACTCAATTTACTTGTTATTTATTCTACAGCTTATAACTAAATTTAGATTTTATTTTTTTCCAGAGCATTAATATGCTAATATAAGCAGTAGATAAATGAACAAGAAATTGTTTCTTATAAGACACAGTGGAGGAAAAAAAAATCTTTCCTATCAATAAAGACAAAAACATGATTGTAAAGAAAATACACTATTTCAAAGTATTGATTGTATCACACTCTGTCCATATAGTTGAAAGGAATAAAGAAAAAAGAATCAGGAAACTTTTAAATAAGTAAAAATTTGGAAAACTTCATGCTAGCAAATGTTGAAAAGACTTGCCAACATATAAGAATGTAGGAAATTCAGGACTTCAGGACAAGGTGGAGGTGTAGGTAAATAACAGTTTGCCTCCTTGCACAACCAAAAGAAGGACAACAACAAATTTAAAAACAAAAAATAACCAGAACTGCCAGAAAATTGAACTGTGTGGAAGTCCAACAACCAAGGAGTTAAAGAAGAAACATTCATCCAGACCAGTAGGAGGGGCGGAGATGGGCAATTGGGGCAGAAAGGACGTTGCAGTGAGGCAGTGGCTGGCAGACCAGGTGGTCCCATATCTGGATGAAGATGAACCAGGAAAAAGAGCTGTGGAGCTGGACAGACCATATAATCCAGTGTTCCAGTGCAGGAAAAGAAAGCCTCAAAACCTCTGGAGATAAAAACCTGCGGGGGCTGCGGCAGTGGGAGAAACTCCCAGCTTCACAGGAGAGTCTGTTGGAGAGACCCACAGGGTCGTAGGATGTACACAAACCCACCCACCCAGGAATCGGCACCAGAAGGGCCCAATTTGCTTGTGGACAATGGGGGAAGTGACGGAAAGCCAGCAGAGAGCCGAGCAGGCGGCATTGTTCTCTCTCAGACCCCTACCCCACACACAGTATCACAACCGGGGTTGCCCTGCCCTGGCAAATACCTAAAGCTCCATGCCTTCCAACGATTTCCATGGTGCTCCAAGACAAAGAAATATGGCCCAAGTGAGAGAACAGATCAAAGCTCCCAAAATAGAACTAAGCGATGAACAGGTAGCCAAGCTATCACACTTCAAAACACTGGTAATCAGGATGCTCACAGAAATGGTGGAGTATGGTTGCAAAATGGAGTGAAAAGTGAAGTCTATGCAAAGGGAAATTAAAAAAAAATATACAGGGAACCAACAGTAAAGGGAAGGAAAGCAGGACTCAAATCAACAACTGGGAGCAGAAAGAAGAGATAAACATTCAACCAGAACAGAATGGGGAAACAAGAATTCCAAAAAATGAGGAGAGACTTATGAAATCCAGGACAACTTTAAATGTTCCAACATCTGAATCATAGGGGTACCTGAACGAGAAGAGGAAGAGCAAGAAATTGAAAACTTACTTGAACAGATAATGAAGGAGAACTTCCCCAATCTGGCCAAGGAAATAGACTTCCAGGAGATCCAGGAAGCTCAGAGAGTCCCAAAGAAGCACACACCAAGGCACATCATTAATTATGTTACCCAAGATTAGAGATAAGGAGAAAATCTTAAAAGCAGCAAGAGAAAAGGAGACAGTTACCTAGAAAGGATTTCCCATAAGTCTAGCAGCTGATTTCTCCAAAGAAACCTTGCAGGCAAGAAGGGGCTGGCAAAAAAGTATTCAAAATCATGAAAGACAAGGGCCGACACCCAAGATGCCTCTATCGAGCAAAGCTATCATTTAGAATGGAAGGGCAGACAAAGTGCTTCCTAGATAAGGTCAAGTTAAAGGACTTCATCATCACCAAGCCCTTATTATATGAAATGTTAAAAGGACTTATCTAAGAAAAAGAAGATCAAAAACTATGAACAGAAAAATGATGACAAACTCACAACTATCAACAACTGAACCTAAAGAAGACAAAAACAAAAATTAAGCAAAAAATAACTGAAACAGGAACAGCAGCACAGAAATGGAGATCAGAGTGGTGGGGGTGGGGGGACAATGGGGGAAAAGGTACAGAGAATAAGAAGCATAAATAGTAGGTACAAAACTGACAAAGGGAGGCTAAGAATAGTGTAGGAAATGGAGAAGCCAAAGAACTTATATGTACGACCCTTGGACATGAACTAAGTGAGGGGATGCTGGTGGGAAGGGGTTGCCGGGTGGAGGAGAATAAAGGGGAGAAAAAAATGGGACAACTGTAATAGCGTAATCAATAAAACATGTTTTTTTTTAAAAAGAATGCACTCAAATCTCAGAAGACATAGCTGGACATTAGGACAAGTTACTGGTCTCAAAGAATTTTAGACTTTGGCTTACATGCAAAATATTTAACATCAGACTTGGGCTGATTTATTTTAATTGAAATAGATGAAATAGAAACTAGTAACAATATGAATCTATTCAATATATTTTAGAATCTTTCTCCCAGGTCAGTTTTCTATTTGAGGGAAAAAATCAATACCCAAGTGGTAATGACAGGCTTCATTCATTATTGAATCAGTATTACGTACTATCACAAGTAAACAAAATATTTTTAATACCTTCAACTTTTATTTCCCAAGGTAAAGACTGTATTTATATACAAGGTAAAAATATTAAGGATCCACAAGCCCTAAAATTGCCTCCATTTTATTTATTTATTTATGTTTAATCCCCACTCAAGGATATATTTATTGATTTTTTAGAGAGATAGGAATGGGGTGGCAGGAGGAGAGAGAGAGAAAGAGAGAAACATCCAAGAGAGAGAGAAACATCCATGTGAGAGAGAAACATTGATTGGTTTCCTCCCATGCCCAGCCTGACTGGGACAGAACCCACAATCTTTTGGTGTATGGGTTGATGCTCCAGCAAGCTGAGCCACCAAGCCAAGGCTATCCTCCATTTTACTGGAAATCTTTTGATGTCTTTATTGACCTCTGGACATTCCAGTTTTACTGCTACAAGTTAGCAACCTTGGTAAGGTATAAACTGTATAGTACAAACAATGACCTAAAATTCGTAACTGAAGATTCAGCTGCAATGAAAAAATTAAGTCTGACTAAATATCAGGTATAAGTAAAAGAAAGACATCTTTATAACAAAAACAGAAATTCAGTAACTATATATTATAAGAAAATGACTCATTTATTAGAACAAATCAGCTTGGACTGCTACAACAAAATACCACAGGCTGGCTGGCATCAACAGGAGACTGTTTTTCTCAAAAAAAAAAAAAAAAAAAAAAAAAAAAGAAATTCAGTAGCAGAGAGAGCCGTTGAATCCTTGAACACGGTGTCTGTTGCCATGGTGCTTGTGACATAGACATTGGAGTCCACAGGGCTTTGTGAACTTTACACAGTGACCCTGAGGAACTTTCTGTAGCCTTTTTCCAAGCATACCTTCTCTTCATAAAGCATTATGAATTAACCATTAGTGAAAAATTTTAGCTGTACCAATTCTAGGGAAAGTAGTTTGATTAAATTTGCTTTTGTTGTATACATTACTATTTCCTTTTATGACACACTTCATCTTTGATGCAGCAGTCTTTAGTGCCTCTTGAATGTGTAAGCTGCTCCTATACCATCTTGTTCTATGCCCTGTGGTCCTCTTACCACATTGCATTGAAACCTATTTTTAAAATGTGTTTTCCCATACCACTAATACAGAGTGTTGTGTTTTCTTTACTTTGTATCTCCAGGAAATAGCATGGTGCCTTGCACATAGTGAGTGCTGAATAAATATCTGTTGAGTGAATTAATGGAAGGTTGAATAAGATTTTGAGTGTTTATAATCAGGAGTATTAGTTCATTAAAGCTGTTTTCAAGAAATATTACAATTGCAGCAGTAAGGAGGAGAAATGGAAGGAAAGAGTTTAATAGCCTTTTAATGAGCTTCATAAGCTGTAGATCTGAAAATTTTTAAAAGTATCTACCACGTGTCAAGCCTTGTCATAAGATATTAGGATGCTGAAATTAAAATACACACACATGCACACAGCTCCAGAGCTCAAGTTTCCTGGGTTTGTCAAGGGGGGAGAAAGACAGGTAAGTATACATAGTTACTGTACAGTGTGATGGAAGTACATGCAGGTTACCATGGTAGCACTGATGAGGGGATGGTCCCAGATTGGAATGATCACAGAAAATGAGTTACCCAGACAAAGATGAGAGTCAAGCAGAGACACTAGCATTTGCAGAGACTTGGCTGTGTGAGAGAGTAGCTAATTTAGGGAGCTACATATAATTAATTGTCATTGGCACAGAACTGAAGTTGCAAATGGAAGAGTGACAAAAGATGAGACTGGAGTTAGAAAGGGTCATATCTTCTGGACCTTGCTAGTTAAGGAATTTGGATGCTGTTCAGAATGAGTGAGAAAGCCATTGACAATTTTTAAGCACATTTCCACTTTTGCTAACTTTGCATTCACTCTTTAAAGTTGTTTATGAGTTGGAACCAAGGTGGAGAGAGAGTAGGAAGAAGGCTGTTGTAATAGTCCATGTGAAAGTTATGAAGGATCTGAACAAAGACAGTGACAATGGGGACAGAGTGGAAAGGACACATTGCAGGGCTATTTAGGAGGTAAGTAGAGTCAGAAGAACTTTGTGTTTGATTCAAAGACAAAGATTCTCCCACTGGAAGTACATAATCTTGTGAAAAAGTTTTTTAAAAAGGGCAAAGAATAAATTTTTCTAAACTGTGCCCATGACTGAAACACAAGGTAGGAGGAGAATGGTAGGGGATGACACTGAGACTAAGTCCATAAATTAAGGAGTAATCTTTGTTCCTAAGGTATTAAGAGTCATTTAAGGAATTGTGAAGAGAGAAATGACATAATTTTGAACAACAAAGTGACAGTTGGTACAGGCATACCTCAGAGATATTGCAGGTCTAGTTCCAGACCACTGCATTAAAATGAGTGTACCAATAAAGCAAGTCATAGTCTTTTTGCTAGCGGAGGGTCTTGCCTTTTATTTGTTAAAAAAAAAAAAAATCTGTGAAGTACAATAAAGTGAAACACAATAAAATGAGGTATGCCTGTAGAGAGCCTATTGGCTCAAGAAGGGACTGAAGTTAGAGAAGCCAAATTGACTTGTAAAAATCTAGGCCAGAGATCATAAAAACCAGAATGAAAACTGTGGGGATAAAAAGGAAAGGATCAATACAGTTGACTTTTTGGTGGCTTAATACAATAGCTTAGACTTGGTGTTTATTTGGCTATTGGTAAGGGAGGAGTGAGGTGGGTAGGCAGAATATGATGGAAGGGATTTGGCCAGGTGGTAGAAAATGATGCTCTTAATTAGGAGAAAAGATACAGGATACAGAATGAATTTGAGAAGAAAATAATGAGCCAAGTTTTGGATATGTTGAGTTTGAGGAGATGGAGATAAATTAGTTCAATAGTTACTCAGAAGTACAGGGCTGGAGTTGAGGAGAAGTCTTGCTGTTGAAGATCAGTGTAGAGTTGGTACTTCAATCCATTGAATGGATGAGAGAGGAGTTAGGGAGAGTAGGGTCAGAAGTAGCTCTTCAAATATGGAAGTGGGGGTGCCCCAGTTCCCCCACTTCCCCACATGTGCTCTGCACATGGCCCTTCCTTGGTCTTCAGATGGGTGCTGTGTTAAAATAGACACAACCTGCTCTGCCTTATACTATGATCTCCCACCCCCCGGAAAAGCATGGAGAAAGATGGAAATAGAACAAATGAAGGAACATGGAGAAAATTTAGGGAATTACTACAACAAGAAGACCCAACTCAGAAAACTATGGAGAGAAATTGTTAGACATGTAGGAAGTAATCTGAAGAGACAGAGAACTGGTAAAGGATACTTTTCAGAAATTATCTGTGGTACTAAGTGGGCCAAGAGGTTAAGAGAATTATGTAGGCAGTGACCTGAACCTTAGTTAATATTTGTTGATTTGAATAGTTTAGTTATATCTAATGAAGGCATGAAGTAGGAAGATATGAGAAAAAGTAAAGAAGACTGTACATATTTTAGTTTGGGTTATTTTTCAGTTATTTTACATTGCTTTTTTTATCTACTATACTGGTGCTCATTCCAATTTTTCCTATCTATTCTTTATGCAGATTAGTGCATTTATTTCTGGGAGAATTTAAAGTTGTCTGGATATTGGCTCTGAATTTTCTTCTTAGAAGGAAGAGGTCTCCAGATTGCAGTATCACTAGAACCCAGATAAAAAGAGTGTTCTAGGACTCCTTTTGAACTAGGGTAGCCATATACCTTGGTTTGCTTAAGATAATCCCGGTTTACATTTGTTATCCCAGCATAAATATTGATAATGTCTCTTTTTATTCTTAAAACTGTTCCAGAAGGGATAATAAATTAACATCTCATCCTACTCCAAGCCTTGTTAAAATTCTAGCTCCATGGTGTATCTAAAAGCATCTTAAAAATAAAAACCTCCCAGAAACATCAGGCAATACTCATCTGTTTTTGAAGGAGGGAAAAACTTTTTCAGTTTTTCTAAGAAAGAGACTATGAAAGAAAATATTGCTTAATTTGACAAGTAAAAGGAAAATACTCTAGATATCAAAAAATATTCATAAACCAAATTAGGAAAACATAAGGAAGTAACAAATTAAAAAAATATCTGCAACGTATATTAGATATAAAATGAAAAGCCAATTTAAGCAAAGTAGAGAGACTTAATTAGATTTCAACATTGAGAGAATCAGATTCCTTCATCATTGGTTCCATGGCTTTAGTTACCAACACTACTGTGCCTTTTTACAAATAAGGAACTTAAGTAATTTCACTGCTTATGAGGCCAGTGTCATTTTGATGCAGAAAACCCGGAGAAAGTCATATGGATATTAATCATTGGGGGATATATTAATAGTTCTCTCCTCAACCCCCACCCTCCTGAGCCTTTGTGACCTACTTATCATTGTCCTATTTTACAAGATACAAGAAAGCAATGTTATTTCTTTTGTGGCTGTTGTTAACAACTTTAATCATGTTCTTTTATTATATTGTGTCATAATTTGAGTAAAAACTGTGGAAAGTAAATAATATATTTTTAATTCTAAAGTTATATGTCCTTTGAAGGTAATGATTAAGAATAAATTAGTGCAGCCTGGCTGGGTAGCTCAGTTGGTTAGAGTGTCATCCCGATATGCCAAGGTTGCAGGATCAGCCTCTGGTTAGGGCACATGCAAGAAGCGACCAGGGAATGCATAAATAAGTAGAATAAAATCAGTAGTTCTCTCTCTCTCTCGTGCTTCCTCTCTTCATCTGTAAAATCACTAAGTAAAAAATTTTTAAAAATAGTCAGTATAAAATGTTCCATGGAAATCTGCAATTATTTTAGAAAGCCTTTACACAATATATTTACATTAGCAAGTGTTAACTTAATTATTATATTAAATTATAAGCCAACTCTACGTTGTTCAATAGCTGAAAAATACTTGAAATTTTGGTGAGTGGCTTAGTTTTGCTCAGGTGTACCATTTCAGGTTTTCAATATGAGTGACCTAATTGGTTATATAACTTACTTATAACCACAGCATTAATTTTTGTTTTAATAAAAAATCAAATTGTTTAGTTATTATATGTTATGATAGATGTTTTCCTTTCCATTGAAGATATCACTATTGTAACTTTCTTATTTCACTTTGATTATGCGAAACACAATTAATCTGTAGTTCTTGTTCTCCAGCACATGAAAGTGATGGAAGATATGCTCAAAGACTTCCTTCTTGGAGAACATCTATTATTGGTTGGTAACCAGGTGAGTTATGGCTGGAACTCAGGTGCTGATTGACAGTAACAGTATAAAAACAGTAAGTTTCTTGTTTTTGTTTGAATAAGTTTTTAGAAATGATTCTTTTTTTCTCACCTAAATTACTTATTTAATTAAATGATAAGGGTCCTCTACCTTCTAAACTTTCGAATCACCTTGGGGCTTAAATCACCCTTCATTTAATCACCCATCAAGCTCTGTCTATTTTACCTCTTAAATATCTACTCTTCTTTTCCCCAGCTGTCATCGTAGCCCAGCTCACCGTCACCTAGCACTGGATTATAGCAAGTTTCCTAATATAGCTCCACCCCTGCCTTATGCCCGCTGTGATCTACTCTTTCCTCTGCAGCCAAATTGATACTTGTAAAACTAAAATCTGATTAAGCCTCTCTCTCTCTCTCTCTCTCTCTCTTTTTTTTTTTTTTTTTTGCTTAAATTGGCTCCTCCCTGCCCTTAGATATAGTCTTCAGTGTTTTACAGGATCTCGCCCCTGCCCACCATTCTAGTCCTAAACCTTGGCTCCCTCCTTCCTGGCACTCCTCTCTCAGCTTGAGCTGCTCTGAACTCCTGCAGTTTCTTATGTCTGCTCTAGTCACCTTCTCTGTATGGAGTAGTCTTGGTCCCCTTCCCACACCCTCAGCCCCTAATTCCAGGGAGGTCTTTCCTAGTTGCCAGCAGAGTTAAGTTTGCCTTGCTTCTTTGTGTCTTTCTAGCTCCCTGTCATCACACTAGTCATGTGTTACTGTATTTACATGTAGAATGATGTCTTCCCAACGTGCCTGTATGCTCCTCAAGAGCAGAGGCCACAGTTCCCTTGCTTATCTCTGTATCAGTTCCTACCAGCACAGTACCTGCTACATAGTAGATATTAAATTATGTGTTTATGGAGGGAATGGATGAATTTTCTATACTTAGTAGGTTTCTGGCAATTTCCCTTAATCGAATTATCAGACTCAGTAAACAGCACTTTTTTTTTTATTGGTCTTAAGGGTAACAAGCTCTCATGGGAATTTGGTCTTTATTTTAACCTATAAAAACAAGACATGTTTTTTATTTAGTCCCTCAAACTTATCATTTTAAAATGTTGATTTTTAAAAAGTGGGCCAGTTGAGTGGCTACTGGTTGAGTGCACAGGCTTGGGAATTAAGATCCAGTAGCAACTCTTTCACAGACGGCTGTGACTTTGGGTGCATTGCTTTTCTTACTAAGGCTCAGTTTCCTTATATCTAATAAAAATTGTACTATTAATACTTTATTGGGTTAACGTAAGAATCACATGAGGTAATGAGCAGAAAGCACTTCACACAGTGCTTGGCTTATAGTAGGTGCTCAGTTAAAATTAAATCTGTGCATCACTGTCCTGTTAAAAAGGACTTTAATATTCTCTTGTATCTTTTTTTTTTTCTAAATGATTAAAAAGAAAGTGATAAATTATTCATGGGATTTTTTTCACTATTTGCAAATCTTTACCTACTATTTACTGAAAAATCATTTTTCCTGATGAGTCTATATACCAGAATAGGAGGAAGAAGATCAATTAATAGACCATTCGGTATTCAGTCTTTGATATTGAAGCCCAGGGAATCAGGAAACTCTAAGACAAATTGACTAATTTTTCATTTTGTAAACTTGCAACGGTTTAATGAAGGAAACAGATAAATTAGATAGAAACTAGGGGGTGTTTACTTAAAAGAGTAAATAATTAAGTAACCCATTCAACTGGATATGGTAACATACTGAGAGGATCAGAGACTGGCAGCGTTTTCACTAGGACAGAAAAATGCAGTACTAATTATGGTATTTTAAAATTTCTATCAATAGTAACAATTAAGTGCTAATTAGTATTTAACTAATTAAATGAGGTCTAACTTTGTGCGTGCTTACATTTACCAGGTCAGGGAGTGGAAATTGGACCAAAGTGGCAGGGTAAAATCTAAACAGAACTCTTTGAGTACTTAGCCAGTTTCAGTTCCTTTCAAAGTTGTTTTCAAAAGGTAATGTCTGCCCTGGTTGGTGTGGCTTAGTAGGTTGGAGCATCATCCCATAAACTGAAAGGTTGTGGGTTCAATTCCTGGTCAGGGCACATACCTAAGCTGAGGGTTCAATCCCTGGTCGGGAAGCAACCAGGTGTCCAATCGCTATTTCTCTCTCACATTGATGTTTCTCTCTCTCCCTCATTTCCTCTCTTTCTAAAAGCAATGAAAAAAATGTCCTCAAGTGAGGATTTAAAAAAAAAAAAAGCTAATGTTGGTGTTAATATCTCAGCAAGATTATAGACTCTTTTTCCCTGCTTTATTGAGGTATAATTGACAAAATTATATATTTAAAGCATATAATGTGATGATTTGATATATTTATGCATTATTAATAATTATACGTTATTATACATTGTACAGGATTCCTCTCATCTAGTTAACGCATCCATTACTACAAATATTTACCTTTTTTTTTTTCTGGTGGGAACATTTAAATTTCAATTATGCAATACAAAGTTATCAGTTATAGTCACCATGGCAAACATAAGATCCTCAAACATTATTTATCTCATAGGTGAAAATGTGTACCTACTTACCAACTTCTCCCTATTTCCCTGTTCACCCCCCCCCTCAGAAACCACTTTTCTACTGTTTCTAGGAATTTGACTTTATTTACTTTATTTTGAGATTCCACATATAAGTATTTATTTTTCTCTGACTGGCTTATTTCACTTATATAATACCCTCCAGGTTCATTATGGTTAGATTCTTGACTACTTCCATTTGGTGTGTATGAGGGAGGATGATGCCCTCTGTAGCTAGCACGTACCCCACAGAAATGTACTTTGCGAAAGACTGGTATGGAGTTATATGTTCTCTTTCCCTGTGCTTTTCTCCCTCTAGATTTTTCCCCCCAGGAATGTGTATTTTTGTAGTCATGGTAACAACAGCTTTGAAAAAATACTCTGCTTTTTTTTACCAGTGGTATTTCAGTATTTCTCTTTATATTTTATGCATCTTCTCACCTTCACTCTTATTTCCATCTTGTGAAACAAAACAATTAAAAAGAAAAAGGCAAGCAAGTGAAGATGCAGCTGACAGGTAGGTTGAGGACTGCTGGCTAAACTCTCATGGGATAGTGTCACTAGTGTTTTCACCCAAATGCAAAGTGACAACCATCTGGGAAAATGCCTATTTTAATCACATGATTTATTTTGAAAATAAGTAAACCATTTGTAGCAGTTTATCTGGCTTCTTTCTTTTTTCTTTTCCTTTTCTTTTTTTTTTTTTTTAGGTTTCTAGTTCTTTTATTTATTTATTGTTTTGATCTGCCTCCTTTCCTTCTCTTTGTCTTTTTAAAACAGTATATGATGGCTACTCAAAAGAAAAAAAACCAAAAACCAAAACAAAAGAAAACAAAAACCCAACTAATTAGAAGTAAGGCTTTGGGAATTAAATATTGAGAGAGAAGCCAAGAGTGGGTTAGTATAATTATACAATAAAGTGTTAATGAGTGCTCTTAATATAAACTGTCTATAATAGAAACAGTGTACCCAGCTTTCTCCTTGCAAAGTAGAAACTGGCTGGAGTCCATGTTTCAATAGTTGAAGTAGAGATGTTTTGAAAGATTGCTCTGTTTCCAGTGGCAATTTTTTACAAGGAAATTAAAGACTAAGAAAGTGTGCTGATTTTGAGAAAGTTCAAGATTTATCATCTTTAATTAAGCCCAGTTCACCCTTTCTTTCCATATAATGCTCTTTTCTATCAAGATTAGCCAAGATTTCATAACTATTCTATTGGAAAGTTAAAAACAGTTCTATAAACATCACTTCTGGCAAAGTAAAGTAGCTCCCATCTTCTTTTGGTGAAATGAAATTGATTTTGGGGGAAGTTTTATAACTTTGTTTGACTATCAGCAGTTAGTTCTCATCCACGTTAACTGTTCGTAGATTTTTTGAAGTGGTGACAGGTACCTAGGTAACAAGGTATAGTACTTGTTTGGTAAATCTTCATCCTCATTACATTTTTCTGGACAACTGCACCTGGACAAAGTAGGGGACACTCCTTATTCCTTTAGCCCAGACAGCTTTGTTGAGCCTGGTGGCAGTGTGTACGTTTGGAGTTCCCATTTCCTTTCTGGCAGATTTCCTGATCTCTTTGAGTGCTGGAGGGGCACGCTTCTTGACACCCACTCTATGGGTACACTTGTGGACGTTGACAGTGTTTCCTCTGGTCACTACCTCGCTGACTGCAGAACAGCCCTTCTTCTCTCCACCCATATTAGTGGCAGCCGTTATGCTGGGCCCAAATTGGAATGAAACCAACATTGATTTTTTTTATCCCTTTAATTTTCTATGTGGGATTTTAGGGCAGAGTACATCTCCTATTCAGTAAGCGAAGCAGAATTACTGCCTGTCAGTCAAAGGGATCAGGAACCTGGAAATTACACATTTCATAGACCCCTAGTATATAATGCTGCATATTGTAAAACCACTTTTTAGGCTGTTGCATGCAGTATTTTCCACTTACTATAATTATAATATGACATAGACCTTTCATACAATTCGAAGTTTCATACTAGTTTTTACAAAAAATCATAGTGTGACTTTCTATTTATTTCATCTTCGTGGAGAGGGTAAAATGAGAAATGACTATTTATTTTCCAGTCAGTGGTACTTTTTCTGTCGCAACACTGCTCAAGAATGATCTTCCTTTCTTCCCATATCTTATTTTCTTTTGATTTGTACAGCTATATTCTATTTGATATACAAAATGCTTACTATGAATAGTTTGGGTTATAGAATCAGCCTATAGTAGCATTTTATTATTGTTGTTGTTTAAAAACTCCATAAGAATAACTTCTGTTTTTGTGTAGGAATACTTGAGTTTTGAGAGGCAGTTGCATTTTATCAGATATTTGAAGGAAAATTTTTTTTTATCAATACAGTGTTCTAAAATGCTAAGGTACCCCTTAAATAAGAAATATTTTTAAAATGTGCAGTATTTGTTTTA